GTCTTATGGAGACAATAGTGCACTACAGTTTGCTCTGTTTCTTTAGAGCGAATCTACTTGTTCTTGCATTGATGGTAGAACCTTTAAACAAAGAGCGAATAAATTCTGGTAAAAAGGCATTATTTGTCCAATAAAAGGTTCCAGAACATGAATCAAACTAGTAAGACGAAACAAAAGGACAGTCTAAAGAAAACTAACAGACCAAAGAAATGTAAAAAACATCAAAGTTACATCTTTTAAAACCTTCTAAGAAACCTAGTTAAGCGATGAATCAATCACTTGGCTCCTCCTCCATAGGTGTAGGTGCAGTAGGATCACAACACATCTTACACTTTTTGATGAACCAACTGTTTCCATATGTGCAGCGATCGCAAAACCAGTAAGGACCACCAAAGTTGTCGTAAGACCTGACCTTGACATCGGCGAAACCATCTTTAAAAGCCTTCATGAAGTAATAGAAGTAGTTACCGATGTCGCTTTTCGCGCTTGACAACTTACCCCTGAAGCAAGTAACCTCTTCACAACTCTCTGCAATCAAGGCTTTTTCTGTTGCCTCCTTTAAAGTCTCTGAGTAGCTCTGGACAAGGGCGGTCGCGTTGGCTTGCAGGTATCGCATGTACTCTTTTTTCGCCATCTCGTACTCCGTGAAGAGATATTCGTACACACATATCCATTTGAGTACCTGCCTGCACTGAACAACCAGCATCAATCCTTCTCTCAGATTCGTAATGTCTTGCTTGGTCAAGGTACTCGGGTCCTTCTTGGTAATGGATTCCTCGAAAGCTCGTAGACTGGATTTAGCTTCTGCCATCGAAATCTCAAACGCTTCCCAGCGATCCACACAAGAAATGTCCACTTTTTCCCCGCTCTCGCGTAGTATCTCCGGTTTAGGACATCGTGAGAAGTAGTATACTGAATCACTTAGGTGAGATATCTCTGGCTGCAAACACTTCCTACAGAAACGACGACTAAAGCAAAACAGAACACAAATCAGTAATGATTAATACTTAAAAACAGAGAAAACCTAAGCATGCTCTGTCTTTCAAAACAAAGAACACGTTCATTGTACAAAGAGGTTTCGATTTGAATAAAATTCTACATTTCAATTCAAAAAAGAAAGAGAATCTTAGTTACCTGCAGGCGCAAGTCAAGAACTGGTCGTATCCTGTACTATCAAACTCCACAGGACAATGGCAATGAGGGCAAGGCTTGGTGTTGGTTTCAATCCAAGCAAGGGTCGATGATTTTTTGAATTCCTCTATCAAGTTCTGTAAGTCTCTAGACAACCAATCAGAAGCGTTGTTGCAGGACACTGGTTTGTGTGACTCAAGATTACATCTCCAACAAAAGATATGACCACAGAGACACACAACGTTTGAGCTATGCTCCTCAAGATCACACATCCGATGAAACTCAATGAGGTGCTCGCAGTCTGGTGCAGGACACTTTTTGATCATCTCTTTCTTGATTCCTCCGAGGTAAGATCTAAGAACATACCCCTCGTACATCTCTTTATCCTCCACTTTAAGCTTCTCGATCGTGTCTGGTCCAACTGAAACTCCACAACCTTGATCAGGACAAGAGATTGGAGTTTCGAGAGAGTGTAGCTTCTCCTCGAGATACTCTCTCCAGTAACTTACACGAAACTTGTGAGAACAAATCGGCGTGGAGATTAAG